CATCACCAGGATAAATCTGCCTCTGCTTGCACATTCGTGGGAGTGACATCTCTGATCTCCTCTATGTGTCACAGGGCAGGTCCCTTTTCCAGTACCCATTTTCCCCACACACAGTAATTCAAACACCTTCCATGAGTAAGGGACAACCAGGTGAGCCAGCAGCTGAGGGAGTGTCCTTGGCATTGGGCAAGTCGTGCGCTTGGACAATTGTCACCAATTTAGTGAATATTTCCAACCTGGAAATGAAAAAAGATCGTTTTTCCAACCTGGAAATGGTCCCTAAAGCTCTGTTTCTTTTGTCAAACAAATAGAAGTCATGGTTGGTGGAACAAGGTGACCGATCCCACAGGGGCAGGTTAAACGCTGCCGGCGGATCTTTGGCATTGGCAGCCCAGCTGTACTCTGGTCAGTCCTGGAAAAGGCTTGGCACAAAGCAGGCTGGAAGAACAAAGACCTTTTTTTTATTATTTTGGTCCTTTTTGCAGTTTGTTAAATCTTAGCTTTGAAATACTCAAAAGCCCAATGGAGGGAACCTATGTATAGTTTGTTCAGAAACAACAGTTCAGGAAAGTCAGCTTAGATATTTTGAATCTTTTACCATCTCTGCTCAGCTGAGTTCATCACATGTCAGAAAATCTCCATCTCTCACAGTCTTTTCTGTTGTGTTTGTCACTTCACCACATCCCATGGCAGAAAAGCTCTTTCTACATCGTAGTTCAGGCTGGTCACAAAGTGCTTGATGCTGCTGTCAGAGCTGAAGCACACCTTGTGATGAGAGTATCACCAGGTAGCACTATCCCAGATTGGATGCTCTTTGTGTTCCCTTTTAACTGTTTTCATCTCCTTCTTTTGTAGCTATTATATTACAGGCATTAAATGCTGCTGGGGGACCAAGCCTCTAAGCATAGCCTCTGCCTCTGAAAGTGCTCAGTAAAATTAGATAAGACAGGCAGGGAGTGCAAACGAGACAGGATGGCTAGCCTCATTTTCCAGGTAGGAAATGTCAGTGCAGAGGAATAATGTGGATTTGTACAAGGTTTCCCATGTGGAGTTAGGGTCAGAGCAGAGAACTGCAACCAGGACCTTCCAGCCTTGGAAGTGGTGAAGAGTCAGAAACTCATGGGTCTTCACTAGGGACGAGAGCTGCCAGATACCAGCTGCTTAAGTGCTTGTGTTGCTGTCTTGCTAGAAGCTTGTCCCTCTGAGTAGACTTCAGAAAGTCACTCTGAGGTCTGGCTGACTCCACTAAACTGCTTCCAAACCCAGACATCCAGTCCCAGCCCATCTCTGATTCACAGAGTTGGGAGCCTCTCTCCACACAAGCTGTTGCCCTCGCCCGTGGTGAAGATATGTGACAAGGACCATGCTTTGTAGCATTGCAGCATATTGTGCTCTATTAGCAAGACCATGGGCAAAAAAAGTGAGAAGGGTGAAGGCTCCCATCTGCTCGGCACTCATGAGGCCACATCTGGGATACTGTGTCCACTTTGGGGCTCCCCAGTACTACAGGGACATCAACAAACTGGAGCAGGTCTGAGATGGGCTGGGGATTTGAACACAGGGCGTATGAGGATGACTGAGGGAGCTGGGTTTGGCCAGCTTGGAGAGGAGGAGGCAGAAGAGCATCTTGCTACTCTTCTATTCCAAAAGGACATTTAAAGAGAAGGCTGGGCCAGACACATCCTAGAGATGCACAGTGAGAGGGCAGCAGCAATGGCCGCAAGGTGCAATGAAGGAAGTTCTGATGGGACGTGAGAAAAAGCTTCGTCCCCACAAGAGCGAGGCAGCCAGGGACCGGTGCTCCGAGAGCCTGTGGGATCCCCATCCCTAAACATACTCAGGTCTCAACTGGATGTGGTCTTGAGCCAAGCGATCTGACTTTGAAATTACTCTGCAAGCCAGTTGGACTAGAAACCTCCAGAGGTCACTTCTGACCTAAAGCTTTCTGTGATTTTATTACTGTGCATTTCCCTGATGCCTGCGATAGCAAGAGCAGTTACTGAGAAGATGCAATGGTGGACGTTCCTGCCTATCCAGAGACATGCCTTTGCCCCAGGTGTAGGAAAAGCGCTGAAGTTGCTGTAGTCATTCATCTCACCTGTCTCCTCCCCAACATGCAGCATATTTGCCTCATTAAGTCTCATTAGATGAGCCCCACCTCATCCATTTGGTTCTTTTTTTCTGGGCTAGACAAGGCAGGTTCACAAAGTGCACGGCCTCCTGGGCCATGGCTCGTCACAAATGATTCACACATGCATGGAGATGGGAGAAGAGCATCCCAGGGACCTCCTACCTGGAGTGACCTGGAGCTGAAGAGCTTCTCCAGCTGCAAGGTCAGCCATTGAACCTATTATGGTTCATGACCCTAAATCATGGGACATTGAAGCATCCCAGTTTTGTGGTGGGATTGGTCTGGTTGTGCGCAGCCCCTGCCCTGTCTGTGTGAGTGTGGGATTGGTTCCCACAGCATGCAGAGCTAAGATGTGCCAGAGAGATCATGGGCTGCGTGCTCATCTCAGTCCAGTCCCAATCCCTGCTGCAGGGCCATCTGTAGCTTGGTCACATCTTCCTTCCAAGGCCTTTCTCCAGGGAATAAAATGTTTGTCTTGGAGACTGCAGATATCCTATAAAATCCATGTTGAAGAAGAAGCAGCAAGCTCTGGCAAGAGCTGACAGGCTTCAGAAATGTTACCTGTGTTTTATCTTAACACCAGCGTGAGAAACTAATCCCAAGAGCTTGCAAATATGGGCCCCGAAGCTGTGGGACTAGGACATTAAGGTGAGAGGGGAGTGGTGCTCTATGCCACAAAGCAAAGAAAGGCCTGAGGTGATACACAGAGTTTCAGACTGGTGGGTAATGGGACCTGGCTTAACCAGAAATGGATGGAGGGATTGGTGTTTGGGAGGAAGTGAGCCTTTGGTCTCAGGATCTGTTAGTATGACAGAATAGTTTGGATCAGAAGGGACCTTTAAAGGTCACCCAGTCCAACCCTCTGCCATGGACAGGAGCATCTGTCCTTAAAGCATCTGTTCCTTAAATCAGGTTGCTCAAAGCACCATCCAGCCTGGCCTTGAACACTTCCACTGATGGAAGTTCTCTGCCCTCATTTGATTTTGGTAAGTGCTGGACAAAACCAGAGATGGCCAACACTTTTCTGAGGCAAACCCACATTGCACCTTCCTTCAGGGGTGGGCAAACCCAGGG